TGATACCTAGCTGCCTTCCCTTTAATCTTTCACTGCTAAATTAGAGACGGCTAGCGCAGATAGCCCTAGTGTAGCTCCGCGTGAAATTCAAAACAAAACAAACCCCATTAACGGTCAAACTTATATTACTACGCACGGCCCTTTGTCATTGATGTGAAATTCTAAGTAACTTTAAAGTTACAATATAAAGAATGAGGTCAAATTAATTTCATTCATTAACTCTTCAAGTCAGAAGTTTTAGAGACGTGTATTTATTACAGTTCTGTAACCCACAAGCTAAACAACAAAAAGATAAATAACCTTTCTGATACATATGGGGACACCATTTTATTTTTCAGCACTGTAATTTTGATTGTTTGTTTGCAGTTAAGCGCAAAGCTACACAATCGACTATCTGTGCTCTGCCCACCACGGGTATGGAAACTCAGTTTCTAGCGTTGTAAGTCCGCAGACATACCGCTGTGTCACGTGGGGGGGGGGGGAGCATTGTAATAATTCAATATGTGTGTATATAAAACGCTGAAGTAAAACACTGCAATTAGTATTTTAAAGTTAAAGTACTTTGCACTCTTCTGTCAAAATACGTAAACAAATATATTATAATTACATATTTTATTAATAGAGCTCCCCAGCCATTTATTTAAATAAAATCACATTTCATTCAGATGACAGGATAAAGATTGATTCAAACTCACACACACACACACACACAAACATATCACCTCCAGAGTGCCTGTGTACAGTGCAGTATAACAATCGGTTGTCTTTGTTGATAGGATTTGAGACGTTACCAACAGAAACACATAAAAATGCGATTCACGGATGTGTACTAGATATATTGATTTGAGACGTTATCAACAGAAACACATAAAAATGCGATGCACAGCTGTGTACTAGATATATGGATTTGAGACGTTACCAACAGAAACACATAAAAATGCGATGCACAGCTGTGTACTAGATATATTGATTTGAGACGTTATCAACAGAAACACATAAAAATGCGATGCACAGATGTGTACTAGATATATGTTCCCAGCTTGCATAGGTGCCATGCATTCCGAACTTTATATTAACACAGAATGGTATCTTGTCTTTACAATATCTATCGATCTGTTACATATAGAGCCAAAATTACCCGTATGTTTCGTTAAGTTCTTGTGTTGTTTTGTTTGAGTGAAGTTGAGCATAAAGCTACACAAATGGGCTATCTGTTCTCTGCCCACTACGGGTATCGAAACCTGGTTTCTAGCGTTTTGTTAAGTGTGGATGTACTTAAGCTACAGTTGAACTTCGAAACTTCAAGATTTCTCATCAAATGTTTCAGCCTTTATTTGTTTACTAACGAAAGTAGGACTTTAAGTCACCATAAATTTATATTATATGAGTTAAGTACTCTAGTTTTTGTTTTTTTTTACATTTAGCACTAATAGTCGTAAATTCAAAAATTAAGAAAATGTTATATAACATCATAAAGATCTATAAAACTCATCTACACGGCCAACTACAGCTTCATTTTATGATATGACTTTCGTATTACATTAACAATACACATATACCTGGCGGCGGAAGAGGGGCGATGGGGGCACGAGCCCCCAATTTTGAACCGGTAGCAAAGTGTATCATTATCAGGGAAAGTCACTGTTTCAGCTTTGAATTCAACAGTCGCGGTTAACGTAGCAAATGAGGTGACCCCCCCCCCACCACACACACTCCCCAAATTACGCAGCCTATGAACGTTAACTTATGCTGAGAATTATCATTTTTATAACCAAAAATGGTCTTAGGTTTAAAAGTTGCCCATATGTATACAATAATTAACTAGTCTTCTCAAACTCTAGATTTTATGGAGTAGGTATTGAATATCTGTGTATTTTTTTTATTTTAGCGCATAGCTACACATCGGACTGTCCACGATCTATCGATCGCGGGAAAGTACGAACCTTGGTATTTTAGTCGTTGTAAGTTCTATAAACTTAATCGTTGACCCACGTGGGACGTTCAACTAGTAGAGCCATGTTGTCAATTAGTAAAA